TATTTTTAACTCTTTGAGGAACCTCCACACAGTTTTCCAGAGTGGCTGCACCAGTTCACATTCCCACCAACAGTGCAAGAGCGTTCTAGATACCACTTCTTTGTTGAATATGTAGTTGCAAGTATTTTCTCCCAATCTATAACTTGTCTTTTTCATCTTTTTAACAGGACCTTTCATAAAGGAAACAGTGTTAATTCTGATGAAGTCCAATTTATCAATGTTTCGTTTTCTGCATACGGTCTTAGATGTCAAGTCTGAGAACTCTGTGTAGCTCTCTATCATGAAGATTTTTCTCCTCAGTTTTTTTTTTCTAACTTTATAGTTTGTTTTACATTTAAGTCCATGGTCTATTTTGATTTAGTTTTTTATATAAGGTATGAGATTTAAATAGAGGTTTATTTTTTACTTATTTTTTACTTATTGATGTCCAATTGTTTCAGCAGTACTTGGCATATTTGTGTGGGTCTATTTCTGGCTCATCTATTGTTCTGTTGATCTATATGCCTACCCCTCTACCGGTATCACAGAATTTAAATTACTTTAGCTCTATAATAAGGCTTAAGATGAGGTAAACTGCTTCTTCCCACTTTTTTTTTTCAAAATTGTTTTAGCTGTTCTTTTTTTGCCTTACCATATAAGTTTATAATAATCCTGTCTATAGCCATCAAAAAATCTTGCTGGGATTTTGGTAGGAATTACATTAAAACCCACATGTGGATTTGGAAAGAATTGACCTCTTTACTATTTTGAGTCTTCCAGTCCATGAATATGGATGGTGTTGTTGAGCTCTTCCATATACTTGCTGATTTTCTGTCTAGGTCTTCTCCCAGTTGTTGAGAAAGGAGTATTGAAGCCTCCAACTATAACTATAGATTTGCCTATTTCAGCTTTACATTCTGTCAGCTTTTGCTTCACATATTTTGCAGCTCTGTTGTTTCGTGCACACACATTTAGAATTGCTATGTCTTCTTGGTACATTGATCCTTTTATCACATAATGTCTGTCTGCATGTCTAGTAGTAATTTTCTTTGCTCTGACTTCTACTTTATTTAATATTAATGTGGCCACTCTGGCTTTTCTTTGAGGAATAGTTTGCATGATTTAACTTATTCTACCCTTTAACTTAACACCAGCCTCTATTTTTATATTTGAAATGAGTTTCTTTTAGATAGTATGTAGTTGGATTATGTTTTTTTTTTTTTAATTTTTTTTTTTAATTTTTTATTTATTTATGATAGTCACAGAGAGAGAGAGAGGCGCAGAGACACAGGCAGAGGGAGAAGCAGGCTCCATGCACCAGGAGCCCGACGTGGGATTCGATCCTGGGTCTCCAGGATCGCGCCCTGGGCCAAAGGCAGGTGCCAAACCGCTGCGCCACCCAGGGATCCCTGGATTATGTTTTTTAATGCACTCTGCCAGCTTCTTTTAATAGGGGTATTAAAAACCCTTTATATTTCATGTTATTATTGAACTGTTAGGATTTATGTGTGCCATTTTATTTTTTGTTTTTTATCATCTCTATTTTGTGTTTTTGTTTAATTTTTCTTGCCTTCCTATGTATGTGTAAATACACACACACACACACAATATCACAATCTACTGGTGTCATCATTGTACAAGTTTTCTATCTTGCCAGATGGTCTCTTTCCTGGTCCTTTGGCTAGAGAAAATAGACCTTTGGTGGGCTCTTTTTGTCTGTACCCATCGGCATTTTGGGGTTTCTGGCTCCAAGTCTAGGATATATGAGGCAAAAAGGAAATCTAGGGAACTCACTGCCATGATATTCTTCATGCCCCCAGTACTCTAGCCAGTCTGGTTTTTTCTCTTTACCTTTCATGATCTTTTTCTTAATTTCTGATTTTTTTCTTTATTTGGAAAATAGGCATAAATTTCATTTTATGCCATATTTTTTAAAGCAATATCCACAACCAACATGGAGCTTAAACTTAAAACCTCAAGATCAAGAGTCTCATGTTCCACTGACTGAGCCAGCCAGGTGTCCCTATACTGTAGTTTATATCTTAAACGTGTTTGATTTTTGGAAACATCAAACTTTCAAAGTCTCTCTGGGTTTGTTTTGTATAATATCTGGGGTTTTTAGTTGTACTTAGTGGCAGAGATAGGAAAATGTAGATTTACTTCCATCTTCCCAGAAGTGGAAATCCCTCCCATTTTTATTTTTGTTCTAATATAGAATTAATGTAAATTTTCTTTTTCTTTACTGTTCTGAGTATACCTATGACTCTGACCTAGCCCACTGGATCCAGCCTTGGAATTTACCTCAAAGGAAGTTGACTCATAGCTAGACTGTCAATAGTTTCAGGCCAGTGCTTTTTTCTGTATACTCTTCCTTCTTTCCTGTGTCTTTTATTCTGCTTTGCATTGTTTCAGAGAGCTGCTGCTAGTCAACACCTCTAAGCCACAAGATGGTGCCCCAGAGCAGTTCAAGCTAATCCTTTCCAGTTCTCTGGGCCCGTTTTTAACATGATATTAGTAAACTTAAGGCCATTTATCTAAACCAGAGTATAGCTCTGAAGACTCAGTTGTATTTTTCTTTAAGCCATGTCTTCCCAGTTGCGTGGAAATTTAAGCAATCAATATCAAAAAATGTTTTTGTTTGATTGGGGGGGCATCTTTTAACTCGGTAGGAATTCATATGGAAAATTTTAAAAGTAATTGTAATTTATCTTCAAGAATCCAGTTGCTATTTTGTAATTGGGCTCACTGAAAATAATCTGTAATTTCAACATAGCTTTAGGAAAGGACCGTTATAGAGGTGCCTGGGTGGCTCCATCTGCTAAGCAGTTAAGTGTCTGACTTGGGCTCAGGTCATGATCTCAGTGTCCTGGGATTGAGCCATGCATTGGGTCCTGCCTTGTGCTCAGCAGGGAGTCTGCTTGTCCCTCCCCCCTGCTCATGCTTTCCCTCTCTCGAATAAATAAAATCTTTAAAAATACATAATAAAGTAAGTAGATAGAAAAAGGAAGAAAAGAATGTTACAAGTATTTTCTGAAGGAGATGCACCTCTGAGTATCTTTTGAGGTATTTGGATCAATGAGCCAAACTTTCTTATAGTGTAGATGTTTGTTTTTGATTGCTAGCCTTAACTTTTAAAATGATGGCTTAAAAAAATAAATAAATAAAATGATGGCAGGGCTTCCTGGGTGGCTCAGTGGTTTAGCACTGCCTTCAGCCCCAGGGTGTGATCCTGGAGACCTGGGATCGAGTCCCACATTGGGCTCCCTGCATGGAGCCTGCTTCTCCCTCTGCCTGTGTCTCTGCCTCTCTCTCTGTGTCTCTCATGAATAAATAAATAAAATCTTAAAAATTAAATTAAATGATGGCTTATAAGCTTATAAGATTATATAAAAATGTACGGAACAAAACCACTGTTAAATACATGTTAACAGTCTTTGGGTGGTAAGATTTTAAAGAGAGAGAGATTTTATTTATAGGAGAGAAAAAGAGAAGAGGGTAGGCAGAGGGGGAAAGGGAGAAGCAGGGAGCCCGCTTAACCCACTGAGCCACCCAGGTACCCCAGAGACCAAGTCTCTTAAAATTTTGTAGGTTGAGATACCTACCATGTGCCTTATAATTAGAGAAACCTGGGAAATAACTATTGAATGAACACAGAAGCCACTATCCCTAGCTTTGAAGGAAAGAATTATATTTGACTAGTTTTAAGCTTTGGGTTTAGAGGCTTTACACTGACTGGTCTTGGTATACTTTTCTGCTTAAGTTTTAGCACACATTCAGTGGGCAAGCTGTGTCCATTCTGTCTTAATTCTAGAACTACTAATTAGAGATAATAAAACCATCTGCAATTTCCTAAAATAAGATTAGTAATGGAGTAGGATGGACAATGTAAATCCAAAGCATTAAGCAGTAATACTAAAAATTTGGCCCTTGCTAAATTTATTCTTAAATTGTTAGAGAGTCTGCATAGATATTATACATAACAGTGCTAAAACTATATTTGACAACTGACCAAATAAACGAATGAAGTTTTATTGATTAAGGAATTTTAAATAATATTCTAAAAATCTACAGGGGAAGAAATTATGAGTGAAGAGAAGCTAGATTAAAATCGGTGCCCTTTCCAACCATGACTCAAGAAAATTAATTTCTTCAGTGACTTTTAACTCATGATTTTCATAGGCTCAGCAATTATTATAAAGAACGTTTATATTTCTGATATTGTATAATAATTTATAATTTTTCATTAACTTCTTTTTTTAGTACTATCCATTGATAACTTAGTTTAGTACATTGTAAATAAAAGTAATCTATAGACTTCTTATGAAAGGTTGAATGTAGGCAAGCTTACCAAAGTACCAGATTTGCTAAAAATCCAGACTTTTGAGAAGTGGTCATGTGCACACAAGATGAGTGGGAAGTAGAGAAAATGGGAGTAAATTCACTGAAAAGGAGACTAGAGAATAGAAACTGACAGAGCTTTGAGTGGAAAAAAGGATTTCAGTGAAAGGTAGCAGTCTTAACAAAATCATGACACAGAAAAGTTGGCTGAAAAGACGCTTTATAGACTAGCCATATACAAATTAAAAAAAAAAAAGAAGTAGAACCCTTTATTCAAATGGAAACTTATGCAGAGTACTGATATGTAAGTATATAAAAGCTGAGCTGTTTTGGTTGAAACAGGTTGGGGACTAACATCCATCCTTGAACCTTCCTATATCTATCCCAGTGTGCTCTGTGAAATAGACATTAAAAACAACTCATCTTGTCTGGGCTTAGAGAACCCCTCCCTAGACCCAGTGAAAAGTAGCCTGACCAGTAGGCAGGTATTAGTTAGACTTTAATTTGTAATAAGGAAGCATTTTCTTCAGGCTTACAAAGATGGAAAATTATTTTAAGGAATGTTTTCTCACCCCTTACCAGGAAAGAGTATTTTACCATTGAGTCTACTAGCTGGAAGAATCACTCCACTTACTTGAGATTCTTCCTTTGGCCTTCTTGGGCACTGGTTTTGTGTTTTTTAGCTCTTGGATGTGGTCTCTCAACTAGCCAAGCAGAATCTGGAACTGCTGGTCCTGGGCCGAAAGCACATGCTAACACAGCACTCCAGGTGGAGAAAGGATGAGATGAAAATGGTGCAAAAACAAGCCAGCTGCTTTTTTGCTGACAACCTGTAAGTACTGAAAGTTCTAGGTGAATTACACTAGGCCCAAGTCATCTGCTTGTTAGTTACCTATATTCACCATTTTTAAAGTACATGTGTAATGAATCCAAAAAAAGATTTGAGGCAGCTTATAAAAATATATTTCCTACACAGGATAAATTTAAATAGATGAAATCAGGAGAAAGGAGAAATAAGATGAAGATAAAGTCAGAAGTGAGATGAGTACACAGAATGCATGCCATTTAGGTCCTACATAAATCATTAAGCAAATATTATATAAAGATGAAAACCTTCTGTGTTCTTGGAAAACAACAATTCACCAAGTCCCTGCCTTCATGGGATTTAAACAGGTAAACAAATTAAAAAGTAATGTAATTCTAGGCAGTGATCAAGGCTAAAGACAATAAAGCAGAGTAAATAGGTAAAAAAGGATAAGGGAGGGGGTAGGATTTGGTGGTCAGGAATAGCACATATGCTTTCTATGTATTTGGTGCCCTGCCACAGTTTTATATGTATCAGGGCACCAAGTACATAGAAAGTATATATGTAGTGCTCTCATCATCACTATTATATTTCTTAGGTAGAAGAATTGGATAAATGCAGCAATAAAACGAAAAAGCCTGTTGGAAATTGGTCTCATACTTGGTTTGAGACTTGTACTTATTGTGTCCATTAAAGTGACCTTTTATGGCTTCAGATTTGAATACTTAAGTTTTAACATTAATTCTGTTTTCCACCAACGTGCCAAAGAAATCTTTTCAGACATACATTACAGAGAATAGTATAGTGAATCCCCATGTAACTGTCACCCAGCTCCAAAAATTACCATCATTTTTCTAATCTTGTTCCATTTAATCCCCTGTGTTTTTTTCTTTTTTTCTTTCCCTCTCTCTTTTTCCTGGAGATTTTTTTTAAAGATTGATTGATTTATTTATTTATTTATTTATTTATTTATTTATTTATTTATGATAGACACACAGAGAGAGAGAGAGAGGCAGAGACACAGGAGGAGGGAGAAGCAGGCTCCACACCAGGAGCCCGACGTGGGACTCGATCCCGGGACCCCAGGATCACGCCCTGGGCCAAAGGCAGGCGCTAAACCGCTGAGCCACCCAGGGATCCCCTTTCCTGGAGATTTTTAAGGCAGACAGATTCCAGTCATTTATCATTTCATTCCAAATAGTTTAGTATAAAATAAACACTAAATGGTCCTACTTTGGGTCATTTGGATCAAGGCAAAAGACCTATCACATGCTGAAGTCCTAATCTCTGAGTCAAGGCAGCTACTACTGTTCTTACAGCACACAGTACTCCAGTGGTAAGTGCCGAAGTTGAGGGTCCATTGGAGACTCTGAGTCACTGACTCTTCTCAAAGCAGGAGATGCCTTCGGGTGCTGATCTGGGTGACTTCCCAGAAGCTGCTTTGAGATACCAATTTTAGCTTTGAGGGCAGCCCATTATTTTTGGTAACTTGCAAGCAAGTGTCATCCTGCCCTGTTACTATTATGAACATTTTTTTTAGTTTGAGTGAGGAAAGCGGTGGGGGGGGGGGGTGTGCTCTGTGGTGGATAAGGCAAATAGGAACAGCATCTGGGGCACACAGAGACCAACTTTTGAATGAGAAGAGAGGATAATTTAGAATTCTCCATTTTAGTGGAAGAGCCCAATTGAGCCAATGTGAATATTTGCATTCCCTTCCCTTTAGCTTTCCATCTGTGTTCTAGATAGTGCTGTCAACTAGCAAAAGACTTGGAGGTGGTTAGTTTATAAGCATCACTGAAATCATGTCAGTTAAGAATGCAGAGCATCAGGGTGCCTGGGTGGCTCAGTCAGTTAAACGTCTGCCTTCAGCTCGGGTCATGATTTTAGGGTCCTGGGATCAATTCCTGCATTGGGCTCCCTGCTCAGTGGGGAGTCTGCTGCTTCTTCTCCTTTTGCCCCTCCCCCAGCTGGTGTTCTCTCTCTTTCTGTCTCTTAAGTAAGTAAATAAAATCTTTAAAAAAAAAAAAAAGGGAAAGAAAAGAAAAGAATGCGGAGCACCTCTAAAGAAAGTAAATAAGAAGTAAAAAGCATGGTAAAGAATTCTATACTCTGCTTCCTTGGGGTTATGTTTGATTGTATTCTTTCTTATGCCTGGGTCAGCTCAGAGGACGATCCATTCCTTCTCTATGCCACGCTGCACTCGGGGAACCACTGCAAGTTTATCACAAAAGATCTGATGCGGGACCACAAGGCCTGTCTACACAATGCCAAGACCCAGCACCTCTTCTTTAAGTGGCAGCGGGGACATCAGCTAGCAATTCTTAATAGGCTTCCAGGATCAAAAATAATATTTCAGGTATGTTATTTGTTCTCTACTTAATGTCAACAGAATCCAGTATATAATAAAAATGTGGCATAGTAAAAGAATGTTGCAATTAGTTGAAGGTTCTGAATGCTTTATTTTTCTCAGCTGCAGTTTGGTGTTTGGAATTAGCCAGTTCCTGGAAACAGAAAGTCAGCCAGGGCAAAAATTTTCATAGACCAGCCCCACATTAATTGATACATTGAAAACATCTGAGGGGATCCCTGGGTGGCGCAGCGGTTTGGCGCCTGCCTTTGGCCCGGGGCGTGATCCTGGAGACTCGGGATCGAATCCCACGTCGGGCTTCCGGTGCATGGAGCCTGCTTCTCCCTCTGCCTGTGTCTCTGCCTCTCTCTCTCTGTGTGTGACTATCATAAATAAATAAAAATTAAAAAAAAAAAAAGAAAAGATCTGAGATGTCATCAGTTGTGACTTCAATTATGTTACCAATTATAACTCCTCATACATATTTTTTAATTTTCCTATTTATTTGCAATAGCTGGAAATTCCTTATCCCTTCTGGTCCATGAATACCTCTGCTAAGGAATTCCTTTTTCCTGTTAATCCACTTCAGCAGCACAGACTCAACTGAGTTTTCCTTTGATTCTAGTTTATATTCCTACAAATACAAGGAACGTCTCTTGTGTGAAAGCAAAGGGAGAAAATCCAAAGGAGAGTTATTATAGAAAAATACATTAGCCAATAGTAAATATGGCCCAATGGTCAAAAAACATACAAAACAAGTCTGTATGAAAAATCAAGACTTTGGGAAATGATACAGAACAACTGACTTGGTTTTCTCAACAACAAAAAATTACAAGAAAAATAGAGATGAGAAGTAAAGGTCTAATTAAAATTAAGAGATAATTCAGTCATGATGTAACAACCTAATTTCAATGCCTATTCAAAGAAATCAACTGTAAAATATATGCATGCACATGTAACAATTGGAGAATATGAACAGTAAGACATGATAAGGAATTATTAACTCTTAAGTGTAATAATAGTATTGAACTTATATTCACAAAATAGACCCTTATCTTTTAAGGGTACATACTGAATATTACAGAAGAAGTAATATAATGTCTGAGATTTGTTTCACAATAATCTTGAGGGGTGGTATGGATGAAACAAAATTAGCCAAAATTGATAATGGTTGAAGCTGAGGGGGTGGCTGGGAGTTCATTTTACTATTTCTCTACTTTTGTATATATATGAAATTTTTGTCTCACTGATAAAGGCAAGAAAAGGGATACTATAGCCTATAAATGTGATGTTCCTATAGAGAGCATTTAACCTTGAAAATGAACCCTCCCCCCCAAAAAGGAACCCCTAATACTAGGGTTTATCTTCACAGAGCTAGCTGCTCTTTGAAAATTCATTAAGTCAAAGAGAATACTCCTGAAGCAAACTGAGAAGTTGTCAGAAAAGAAAGGGAAATGGCCAGGTAACCCCTTAGTGTTCTCAATGTTTGGTTCCCTTTTTAATTCAACAGAATATTCCCAGTTATGACACAGTGGTGCAAACAACGGGAGACTCATGGCACATACCATATGATGACGACACGGTGGAAAGATATTCCTATGAAGTGCCAACCAAATGGCTTTGTCTTCACCGAAAGACATAAGGACTCTACTCTGCCCCATGCCAAACTTGTGTTGGGGGCCCTTCTGGTTGGCATCAGAGCTCTTCAGTCAATGCTTGTTTAGAGTATTGCTCCTGTGTGATCCAGTTTGTCCTATTTGGTCCAGTTGGTTTGCATGTCAACAAATTGATTTTTTTAATTAAATAAAATATAATATCTTTTCATAACAAGTTGCATTTGTTTTCGGAGACTTACCCAGAGTTGGGGAACTCAACGTAGAATGAAACCTGTTTCTCCTGTTGGGCCAGATATCCCACTTACTTGGGCAATAAGTGCTCTGATATCCATTTTGCTACTCCTGACCTCACCTTTCAGGTCCTCCAATAGTGGAACCAATGCATCTAGGCATAGGCCGCTCATGTTGTATCTAAACGCCTTCTCCCATTTCCGGTATCTTCTCATCCTGTACAGATTATCTCCCACTCACACTAAATCACTTAATGACCTCTGATAAATGGGCCAAGATATCAGAAGCTTATTAGAGGATGCCTGGGTGGCTCAGCGGTTGAGCATCTGCCTTTGGCCCGGGGCGTGATCCTGGAGACTCGGGATTGAGTCCCACATCGGGCTCCTTGCATGGAGCCTGCTTCTCCTCCCTCTGCCTGTGTCTCTGCCTCTCTTTCTGTGTCTCTCATGAATAATAAATAAAATCTTTTTAAAAAATTACTCTAAAAATAATAAATAATAAAATTAAAAATTTAAAAAAAGCTATTAGCTACTTTTACTTAACCACCCAATGATTTGGGTTGAAGAGAAAGGAGCAGTGCATTCTCTTTAGCCTCTGGTCATGTGTTCTTCATTCTACAATCCCTTTATTCAAATTGATTCAATATTTTATGAACACTATTAATTCCATCCCTTAGTATATGAGAACTTTTTGAAGGATACAATTTTTTTTCCATTTAATCAAGTTTGACTTAGTTTAACAAAGTGATTAACTTTTCATATTTGCCTCTGTTTTACCTGCCTTCCAGCCAACTTACACCTCACTGGACCTTAATTTTAGCTGGAAATATTCATGTTCCAATACTTTATGTTCTTTACTTATTTGTACATACTGTATGATTTAATATTCAAGAATAGGCCAAGTCAATCTATGATAATAAAAATCACAATAGTAGTGCCTGAGGCAAGGGCACAAGAGAACTTTCTGGAGGGTGATAGAAAGTTCTATGTATTGATATGGGTGATGCCAACTTAGGTATATGTGTATATTGTCAAAATTTATCACACCAAACACTTTAAAATAGATGCATTTATAACAATGTATCCAAAAATGTTAACATCAAAAAGATAATTATTTAGGGGTGCCTGGGTGGCTTGGTCAGTTGAACGTCTGGCTCCTGGTTTTGGCTCAGGTCATGATCTCCTGGGTGGTAGAACGGAGCCCTGCATCAAGGAGTCTGCTTGAAGATTCTCTCTCCCTCTTCCTCTGCCCCTTCCACTCATGCTCTTTCTCTCAAATAAATGCATAAATACATAAAACCCTGGGACAACTGGCTGGCTCAGTCAGAAGAACATGAGACTAAATCTTAGGGTTGTGAGTTCAAGACCCACATTGGGTGTAGAGATAACTAAAAAATTAGAATTAAATAAAATACCAATTTCTACTTGACAGGAATTGAAGTACATCTGTTCTTTGTCCAGGAGTTGGGGAAATCTAGGGCTGCTTAGGTAAATCACAGTGACACAGGACCCTGGGGAATGCAGAGATCTTCTGAAGGAAGGCGGCTGGTCCCAAACACATATAGACTGCCCTTTTGTGTTCTGATCACCTGAGTGGAAGAAAAAAACTACCTGTCAAGCAAAGTCCAAGACAGTGGGAAGAGGAATTCTTTTAAAAGTCGTACTCAGGGGGATCCCTGGGTGGCTCAGCGGTTTGGCGCCTGCCTTTGGCCCGGGGCGCGGTCCTGGAGTCCCCGGATCTAGTCCCGCGTCGGACTCCCGGCATGGAGCCTGCTTCTCCCTCCTCCAGGGTCTCTGCCTCTCTCTCTCTCTCAATGTCTATCATAAATAAATAAATAAATAAATCTTAAAAAAAAAAAAAAAAAGTCGTGCTCTGGGGCATCCCTGGGTGGTTCAGTGGTTTAGCGCCTGCCTTCGGCCCAGGGCATGATCCTGGAGTCCCGGGTCGGGTCCCCTGCATGGAGCCTGCTTTTCCCTCTGTCTACGTCTCTGCCTCTCTCTGTGTGTCTCTCATGAATAAATAAATAAAATCTTAAAAAAAAATAAAGCAGGAATGGAAAGAGTGTGTTATGTGGGCACCTGAATTCTAGTCCATCATGGTGAGTTTTATATTCATTTGCTAAAAATTAATATTATCAGGGTAATTGAGGGCAAAGTTCAGATCTGGTATTTTGGCCATCCTTCAGTAATTTGGAATTCTTAGAGTGAAAAACATCTAAGGGAGCCCTTGTGGGAATGACAGAGTACAGGAACATAGACAACTATGATGAAATGAACTTAGATTTAGGTATTCTTTCAGGCTGGGACCTAAGCAGATAGAATTCTCAATAAGAGGGACCAGGCAGCTATTAGGGCCCCTGGTAACCCACAGCGTTGAGAGGAGTGTCTCCAGGTAAAACGGGACTACAAGTTAAATTTGAATTCCAGATAAATAACTTTTTTTTTTTTAGTATAAATATATCTCAAGTATTGCAGGGACAGACTTACACTAAAAGTATTAGCTATCTGAAATTCACATTTAACAGGTCACTCTGTATTTTTATTTGCTACATCTGACAATCCTAGGTGAGAATTACATGGGAGTGTGAGCGATAGTGGGGAATGAAGCATCTAATAGTCCAGCCGTCCTACAGGAGGCAGGAAGGGAACAAAGAGGTGAGTAAGAGGCACCTGGGTGGGGAAAGAAAGATGAGAAGACCAGCTTTTCCTTTCTTTGTCCCAGCCGGTGACAAGCAGTCTGCTTGAAGATATATTCTATAGAAGCAAAGGGACTTCCATTTAGAGATCTAGAGAAAGCCACAGAAAACAGTGAAATGAAAAAATACAGGAGAATACCAATGAGTAAATGCAGTAAATCTTGAGGATAATCTTGAATTTCCTCTTATCATATCTATTTCATGGTATTTCAAAATTCCCTAAAGCTCTCTCTCCTGAGGTTTGTTCTTTGTTGGCAATTTTCCATCTGACGGGTGCTTCCAGAGATCCCACATTCACAACTTGCATTCAACCAGAAATTGATATAAACAGAAGACAATTATCTAGTCACTGATGGCAGCTAAAAATAGTTTGTGTTGCTATCAGAGTATTGTCAGTACACTCTTATCAAATGAATTGTTATTAAGGTAACCATGATAATTTGTTGTAAATAACAGTATCATATGAAGGGTTTTCAGTAGTTTCTGACAAGAAATGTGATGTAAAATTCAACCACATAAAAATAATTACCCCTGTCTGCTGTTAAGTTAAAATACAGCTCAAAGAGCAAATACTTGAGAAATCACTAAGGACTTTAATTTCTAATACAGTAGAGACATTAATTCATTTTTTAAGAGACCAGGTCAGCTGGACTAAAACATTACTTGGTATCAAGTTTAGTTCATATTCAAAATACTTAAAATCGATTATTAAAACAGATTTCTTTTGCTTTCTATGACTGCATCAGAACAGAGAATGTCATTGTTAGGTGCCAGTGGAATTCTCTGACAATTCTGCTGTTCATATGACTGGCTGGGGCAGAGTGGCGTCCCAGCCTGGGGGAATAGAATGGGCCTCCACCTCCATGAAATAGGTTCCTTTGCAAGTGGTGATGGCAGGTCTTCCCAAAGGTAAGTCCCCTGCCCAGACTTGTTGCTTAAGATGTACTGTATTAGTCTTTTTTTTTTTTAAACCCCAAGATCAAGATGCATGCTTTACCAACTGAGCCGGCTAAGCACCCCTTTTACTAGGTCTTTAAAGGTAAATTATTCTTATAGTTTCTTCCTGTTTTCAGTGACCTTATCTTCAAATCCAAAGCTGCATTTTTTTCTATCCTCTGCTCCAAACCTGAGCTGTCAATTGCTATTATGTTTTTATTCATATATATATGCCTATTACATAGATAAATATTTTTTTTAATTTTTTATTTATTTTTGATAGTCACACACAGAGAGAGAGAGAGGCAGAGACATAGGCAGAGGGAGAAGCAGGCCCCATGCACCAGGAGCCCGATGTGGGACTCGATCCCGGGTCTCCAGGATCGTGCCCTGGGCCAAAGGCAGGCGCCAAACCGCTGCGCCACCCAGGGATCCCGATAAATATTTTTATATGATTTTTTTAAAGTATCATTCTCTGCAAGCTCTTTTGTAACTTTTTTCACCTGACAGAAAATGAAAACTTCTTTGTGTGGTCTTCTACATCTTCCTGGTGTACTCTAAATCATAATAATGTAAATTCATAAAGAGAGGTAGCCAAGTTAAGCTACAGCATGGTTGTATACCATAAAATACTACTTGCAGAGCTGTATACTCATGAACTCCTCCAGGCTTCCTTGTGTTCAGAAGGAAATTTGTGTTCCAGGAAGCTGTCACTCTGATAATATCTATTGGCTCAAATTAGGGGTTATGTCCTTTGGCATTTAGTCTTGTTGTGGCAGGCATGGTCAGATCTTTGAAGAAGTGGGTCTTTTCCAAGTTAGGCCCTCTAATACCCAACTACTAAAGAAATAAACTGTAGTCAGACCAAGTTTTTGAAGAGAGTCTCAGGAAGGATTGCTGCTTTACACAGATAAAGAGCTCTTTATCTTTTAAAGCAAATCACATGACTCCTTTTGTTCCTTGACACACCAGGGGAAGTTTATATGAGGATATGAGTGTCAAACAGTTGGTGCTTTATAAGCGTCAGTAGACTTTTTATTCCCACCCACTGCCATTGTCCCCAGAGTGTCCAACACCACGCATGTTTTGGTTTCGTTTCTTAACCTCTTTTTTTTTTTTTAAGATTTTATTTATTTATTCATGACAGACAGAGAGAAAGGCAGAGACACAGCCAGAGGGAGAAGCAGGCTCCATGCAGGGAGCCTGACGTGGGACTCGATCCCAGGTCCCCAGGATCATACCCCGGGCTGAAGGCGGTGCCAAATCGCTGGGCCATTGGGGCTGGCCCTCTTAACCTCTTAAACTTGGATCATTTTCACCCCCTGTGAGATGGCCAACCTAGGCCTTTTAAATTACTAAAAGTGTTCCACC